TAAGGTCTTTAGACTCTCTTGGTACGACAGTTGTAAGACTTCATAATTCAACAAAATGACAAGAACTTCACTTCATAGCGGGGAGAGAATGCAATACTTCCCTTGGAGGAGAGAAGTACAGCTCATTGCTGGGGCCAGGTTAGGGTTCCTGAAGAATCTTCCCCCTAGTTTGTATGGTGATGTTACCTTTTTGAATGCAAAATAAATGTATGTAAAAAAACGTCCTTAACAGCGGTACTGGGCCCAAAGCTCTCGAAACAAAATGTTCTGCGCAAGACGAAGTCAGTTCGATACAATTATATACAGCCTACACGACTTAATTTGCATCGCAACGAACTTAATCGTCGTGTTAATTTCCCCTAGGTTGGCTGGTGTTATGGCAGAGCTGATTGAGGAAAATGAACCCACCCCCTTGCGGAAGTTTCTGTTAAACGTGCAGTGGGGTATACGATACTTTATACGAGCCACGCCCTTGCTGTGCGCTCAAAAACGTAAGCACAAGTTTTCTCAACATGATATAATTTTCGTTAAAGTCAGTTACTGCTCGTACAGGAAACAAAAAAAAAATGTGTCATCTGTTTTCTCCAATGAATCGTATTTTATATGTTCAGGACTTTTTTCGCATTATTCCGGTTGACCTTGGCAGGAGTTTGAAGGAATTTCGAGTTATAGGGCTTCACTCAGTTTGTAAGTCCTATTGTAACTGTTCTGTTGAAATGACCTGAGCTAATTAGCAATAACAAGTAGAACAATTTTTGTTATTTTCTTCTTAGCTAGTCTAAGAAAGTCTATCAAATACTCTTTAGTAAAGTTTAGATCATCATTTCTCGTTGTTTTCACATTTTCTAAATGTTTTTTTTCCGATGCTGTGGCTGTTTCAACGGTTTTGTTTTATTTTTTGAGGAGGAGCTTATTGACTTCATACTTTCGTGTACTCCTCAATTGTGAAAGGAATGGGAGAACGTCCAAATACAGCGTGCAAATACAATGGCTTTCTCCTTAATACAGTTTCCAATATCCTGGTTTTTGTCCTGTCCTTCCCAGAGATTGCATTCCCCTAATCCCTTGAGGGTGAAAAGGTGGATAAGCTGCAAAAATTCTAGAAGTTTTAGTTTTATACGGCATTTTTCCATTTTTACCCTTTCTTTGCATTTTTTCTCTTTTCCTTTTTTAGTTTCCACGGCGCTGTCCATTCTGTCTCATTGGACGAGCCAGCTGCTTAATTGTACATGGTCTTCACTGCGCATGTCACTTACCACCCAACTATTTGCCTGCTGGAGGCATTTGATTGGTGCGTACACGGTGCTTTCGTTAAACAATTATTCGCCGTCGGGGAAGTAAAATCTTCAATAAATTTTAACATTTCCTTTTCATCGTCAGGCTCAGGACTAGGTGATCTGCATTTCTTTGGTGTGGCCATGTTACTGCTGATCCTCCATAAGCTGCACATGGTACTCACGGTAAGTCAATAAACGATGTAAATAAATTACGATCGAGGAAATATTGTGCGTTTCTTCTTCCACTTCTGTATCATTTTATCAAATAAGAGCGGGAGAACGCGCGAAATATGCTACGGTATTACAGAATATACGGAGCAACAAAATGACCGTATTAAATCATCTAAATTTTGATTTTTTTTTTCCCATTTCAGGCTTGACTTTTAAAGAAACGAACTTTGGTCGCAAAGAATGTTTTAATGGTTTTGTTCGTGTTGTTTTCGACTTTTGCGTACCCCGTATGCGATCGATAAGATGTACGGATAACGTTGTAGGTGTACGGATAACTAAAATCAAAATACTTAAAAGTGAAATAATGGTGGAATGATAGATCCCTTATTTGATGATTAAACATATACGAGCGGAAATATGCTCATGCTCATATTTTAGAAATACTACGCAGCTCGTAAAATAACCCCGTGCATTGGAATGTATTTTTTAAATGGCTTATCTTTTCCGGAATTAGCACTGTCTTCGAACAACCGAACGACAAGACTTCCCAGAATTGCAAACCACTAAAGTCGGAAGATTAAGCTCATTCTGTTTTGTTTTGTTTTACTTTTTTTAGCCATATGATCAGATGGACTTCTCCCAAGTCAGATGCCAAAGCATGCTGATGTCAGCCATCGAAAGAGCTCGACGACAAAATTTGCTTAATCAGGATCTGTTTTTACAGCCAAATTAATGAATTTATTCTTGCAAGTGAGAGCAAACAAAATCGGTTTGTATTAATGAGAGAGTACTTTTAATTTATTGAAAAATTCGAAATTTAATATAATCTACGTACATTATGTACCAAATATTGTTGGAGAATGAATAAAGTTGACGAAGCTTTCAAAAGCTTCTAGTTACAGAAAAACTTATGTTTTTCCTCAAGAGATTCTGTTTAAGAAACCGAATCGCGCTGATTCCCGAACTAGTCTCAGCTCGAAAGATTTAGTTGAGCTGCTACTTTATAGTAATTCGTTAGGATTTCCTGTAAATTATCCAACTTCGTAACAAGGATTCCAAATATTTTCCTTGTCAATTACCACAAAAACTGTGTGTAGAACAGTGCGGAAAAATGCATACTGACATCAGGAGTGTCTGCTGAATCCACATTCGAGACAATGGTCTGCTTGCGGGCGGTAGTTTGTGTTTTTACCTCGGTCGCCATATTGGACGGGTGGAAGATTTGGGACGAGTGACAAAGCGAGGGGGGAAGGGGGCGGGAAGGGGAGAAAAACTCAGATCTTCCACCGGTCCAATATGGCGACTGAAAAAATACGCCGCGCTGAATCTCACGCATGCCAAATACTATTGCCTGCAAGCAGGCTAATGGGTGGATAAAATCGGGACTATTGGTCAGACCTAGTCAGTGTCCGCCAAAAACAGGGTGTCCGCTTTATCAACAGGGTCTCTGTACATTAATAATGGATGACATAATCAAATCAATAAACAATAGCATCGCGGAGAAACCAATTAGTTGACACGAACAGGACATATGATACTCGACTGACAACAACTCCTCAGTTGACTCGGATGATGACTTCCGCTCAGGAGGTCGAAACGTCGGTCACCAGTACCGACAACAGTCCCTCTCAGGACCACGCCCAGCCGGGCGATCAGTTTACAGGATTACCCCACGTTCAAATTGAAATCAAATTCGCTCGCCATCTCTCCAAACTATGCTTTGAGGGAATTAGTTATTGTTGTATTTCATGTAATGGCCAGTGAATACCTTTGGCTGCAAAAGCAATTGACTGAGTTTATTAAACCAATTTGAAGGTCTTTAAGTGACAAGTTTATTTGAATTGATGAAAATTCATGACATTTTCGTACAAAATCATTTCATTTTGAACGTACGATCGTGATTACAGCATTATCCTTTTTTAGCTACAAAATTTAGCGATGAACTATGTGTGGTATAACAAGAAAATATGTGATGAAGTCTTTTCACATCAATAAAGCACTGTTAATTTGTAATCACTATTTTCCCTAATACCTTTGATTAATTATCTTAGGCCCGACATCCATACTGATTTGGAAAAATTGTCTATCGAAAACGGGTTTTAGCGTGAACGTTAGCTCTGCAAACCCGATAAATTTGAGCGTACTGGGAACTTTTCGAGAAGCAGACACCCACTGTTTTTTCTAGCGTGATAACTAGATTCTTATGCGCATACCCAAGGATGCAGTCTAGCAATTTTGCTTCTTTTCAAGCTTATTCCTCTTCTTGCTGTCGGGGCTTTAGAGGTGTACTCAAAACTGAGGATACAGATTATGTGAGCGGTCACCAAGCTCAATCGAGGACGAGGATGATGGTATCAGTTGCCAAGCAACCTGTCTCTACCAAGTAACATATTTTCAATCTCATTTTTCTCTTCCTTATCATATATATGTTTCGTTGATATATGAAGCCCCTCTCTTTGCTTTTCCATACGAGGTTAAACAGACATCAAAAACGAATAACAAGACCTGTTAAACTCTTGATATAGTTAAAGCTGGCCAGCAGCTATTAAAGACAACATTAAAATCCGTTCCGTGATTGAGAGAGCATGGGCGAAGCACCTAAAGTTCAGTTTTTCAGCTGCCTGTGTTGGCTTCACGAGATGCTTTGGGATAGTCAATGACAGTTACATCGGGTAATGCAAACAAAGCTTCTCTCAATGTTCCGTGTTACTTATGAACTGGAATCACTTGAAATACCGATCCCGATGCTGGAGAAATAAGAAGAAACAGAAACAGGACGTATTAGAAAGGTTGAAATGAAAATAAATTTATCTCTTTTGCAGTTCTGTTTCAGTAACAACATGGATTTAATTATCTGTGCCAGAGGCCAGTACTCACCAAGGCCGATTTCCACGCTAGTCAGCGCGTTGAAATTCATAGATCTTCCGCCCATTCCATTTGCCATCTTTTTCTTTGACCGATTAGCATTCGGCGAAGTTCGGCTCAGCGTCGATGATTTTCGACTGGTCGGAACAGGCGACGATCCACGTGAACGCCCTCCATTCGTAGGTGATGCGTTTCTTGACAGCGAAACGGGGGAGGTTGGACGCGAGTTTGGACGAGAGGACGGTCTGGAAGAAGGCCGTGACCGGGAATCGTATGGCGTGACATAAGTAGCTGGATGTGAGCGACTCAAGCTTGGTGTTGTTGGCCTGGATCGTATGCTGGGTGATCTGTTTACTACGGGTCGTCTGGAAGCTTTGTTGGGTGAGCTGTGTCCAAGGCTTGTAGTCGAAGTGTTGAGGTTAAACGAGGAACCTGTAAGAGTCCCCAACCTGAAATTCGGTTTGGAAGTTGATCTTCGATCGGGACTAACGCTTCCTGTTCGACTAGAGCCACGGCTTGATCTTCGCGAGCGAGTTCGGCTTCTGCCATTTAAACTGCTGCCACTAATTTTAGAATTTCGAAGTTGCCTGTCCTGTTTAGCGAGACGTTTTGCAATTTCTTGAAATTCGGAGGGTAAGTTACTGTACGCCTCAACCCCATGAGTGTCCGTTCTGGGTTCTACCCGTCTAGACTGACCCAATTTACTTTGCTGAATCTAAAACGGCAAGAGATAGGGGATGTTAGTTCGGCAAATAAGTTAAGTTGATTTTCGATATGAATTACTTCTTGTAAAGTAAGCCGTCGTGCCCGATTCAAGAAACAAAAACTAATTATATATCATTCCCAAGACGTATAACTAACTTTTTTTCAGTTTACGTGAAAGATGTCCTATATCGAAAACCCAAACCGGAATACAGACGTGAGAAATACAAAAATGGAGGTGTATTTATCCGGCAAAGAAGTAATTCTTGTTTAGTTTTACAACCTGTTGCATTAAAGAATCTCGAGACTGAAATCCTCCAATAAAATTACTGAATTATTTATTAGAACTATCTTATACATATGCCTTATTAACCAAGCGCGAGGGCCGTACTAGGAGAATATCGGCCCGAGGTCTTGACAGTACGGACCGAGCGCAGCGAGGTCTGTATTAAAAGACCGAGGGCCGATATTCTTCTAGAACGGTCCCGAGCAAGCTTGGTTAATAAGAGATTCATGACTGAAGTTCAAAGGGACACAAGTGCGGTATCATTCGGGACCATTCGGGACAGTGCCCGGTTCAATACTGAGAGAATATTGACCAGCAATAGAGCATTTTGATTGGTTGATTTTAGTTATTGGCCCTCTGACTGCCCGAGTCGTGTAATAAAAAAGACATATCTAATGGATGGGTTCGATTTTTTTTTTTTCATGTTTGTATCAATTACCTTCACTCGCCCTCCTCCTGGCACGTGCCCAATATTGCTGAAGGAATTTACTTTAGACTTCGCTTTCTTGTTGAAATCCATCTTCTTCGACTCGACTGTCTTCGCTCCTGGGAGAGATTTCAAAAAGAAAACGAAGATTATAGATAATAAGAAATCATAGAAAGCGTTTTCCTGGTTGGAATTCAAATCTAAAAGCTCACCTTGTCGACATTTCAGTTGGTGAGATTTCCCGTCCGATGCTTTTGTTCTAACGCCTTGTTGCTAAAAAATATTGCACACGAAAAGTAGGTAAGAAACATTAGTTGCAAAGAATAACTGGATGGAATGACATGTGACACTTAATTCTATTCCAAAGCGGTGCAGCAGATCCACCTGTGATTGTGACTCTGGTGGGTAATGAAAAAAGATTAAGTAACCGCAATTCGAATAGTTTTTGTTGACAGACTTTCATTTATATCTTCAAATGGGTGGAAAGAAGAGGTCGGGGAACGGGGCGAGCTTATCTCAGACTAATTAAATTAAGAAAAAAAAGAAAAGAACCAAACAAGACAACACTAACCAGGAACGATCGATAATTAAGGGCGGCAGTGAATGTAATATTAATATTAGAGTATAAAAAAAAAAAGCAACAACAACGTTGAATAACACGCATCAAAATAAGCAGAGAAATAGGGTTCCTCTCCCTTAGTAAGTGCTTTGTAACGATCATTAGCATCGGGTTGGTAATCCGGTCGTGTTAAGCAAGTGACGCCTTGTGTAAATGTAATCCATCAGGTGATTGGGCATTTTTCAAACGTCCAAGATAATCCAAGATTTCTTTGTTGGTAGAACTTCGCTGTTAAGTTGTTTGTGTATTACTGGCAGTTCTTCAACCTACCTGTTTTGCTCTGCCATTTTGTTTTATGTATGAATTTGAATGTACCTCCCCATTTGATACCATCTGGTGCAGGTCTGTGAACAAAAAAATAAGATCCCTTAGTCGGCGTTTTCCTTTTCATGCTCTTGCAAGGCGATGGAGCCTATATTTAGTTTATTTTTCATCTTGTTTTGCAGGCCACGTAATGAAAGGGTGGTTTCTGATCGAAATCATACAACGAAGAACTACAATATAATTTTTTTGACTGCTTCTTGCATAACTTCATGTTCCCGAAGATTTTCGACGACGCGCCAATGTATTTTGTTAACAGCGATTCAGGGAGACAAAAATTATTGCACGGTCAAAAATATCGGTTTTGCTTTTCCACGATATCTTCATTCCTTTCCTAGCAGTTTCGCTAGTTTACTGTCACAACTATGCAGATTTCGGCTGTTAGACAGGATTTTCTGCACTTGTCCAATCCTTCTTTTTTAATTAGATTTAACTTACTTTTCTGTATCCCCGTTCTTTGGTTCATTTCAGTAGCGGACATGCTGTCGCCAGAAATGTATGAATCCAAGCTGTTTTTTCTGGAACTACAAGGAGTCTTTGAGAAAGCTTGTTCTGTTGTCGGGGAGTCTGGGTAAAAATCTAAGTCGCTCTTTCCATCACGTGACTGCGATAAGAACCCGGATGTGGGTATTTCGCTGTCTGTAAACACGTCTGAACTCAAGTCTGACAAATCAACGTTTAATTCGTTGTAGTCTCCATTATGCAATGTCTCATTTTGTTCACTAACGTAGAGCAATGTCCGATTATATCGGTTCATTCTTTCGGGATCCTGCATTTCTCCTCTTTTCGCGTCAAAATTCTTATTTCCAGTTTCATTTCTTGAGCTCACGTCAATCTCCATAACTTCTGGTTCGCCAAAAATCTTCTCCTCGGACGTCCTAATTGGATAACTTTCAGTTCTAGCCTCAATACTGGGTGTTTTATCATCTTTTAATTTTGAAAGATTTTCCATTGCTGGTGTTGTCCGAATCGGAGAATAATCTCTTACTCTCGCGCCATTTCCAGACGATGTGTTTTCTTGCCGAAAGTCGGTGTCCCCTGAATTCACCTCTTCGGCGTTATGCGAAGGACTGTTGCAGTTGTTAAAATCCGTTCTCCACGAATCAACTTTTGCTATACTATCGGCAATACTCGAAGATGTTGGGTTACTTTTGGACAGCTGTTTTGTTTCATCATCTGCCAGCCTTAATCGTTCCAACACCGCTTGAATTTGCAAATCAGAATTTGTCTTTCCATTTTCCGGTTTACTTTCATCCAATGTCTCTGTTCTACCCTGAGCATTTTTCGCGTTTACTTCTAGACCACTCTTTACTGGTGAACTAAAAATCTTCGGTGTCATATCCAAGGTGCCAAAATTCGCAGATAGCACGCTTCGCGCCGGCGAGTTGTTCAAAGAGCTTTCCATAGTATTGTCCAGTATTTGGTAAGAATACTTGCCAATTTTCACTTTCTTCCTTGGACTTGTTAAAGCGATGTGGTCATCGTATAACTTGATATTTCCTCCCATTGAATATTTAAACTTGATACCTTCTGATTCATACGAAACAGAAGAGCCATCTTGAAAATTTTGAGGTTGCTCTTGGATTCTGACCTCATCAAGATAAGGAAGATATTCTTCACCAACAGCAAATGCTTCCTCTGGAATATAAACAGCTCTATCGCCTTTCGTTTTCCGGTATCTAGGAAATGAAAAGAAAACAAAATTACTCTTAATTGTACCAAAATCCCTCTTTGCAAGATAAAATTTGATTTGATTCCTCCTTATATACTGACTGACATAACCCGTTCATCGGGAAAATGTGCGAGGAAATCATCTGATTGACAACACGAATTTGTGTTTGTAACTTGCGGGACAGGAAAATACGACTCTGCTTATAATTTTGCTTTCTTCGGTTACCGTACGCGGTTGTTCTCTACGTTGTTGCGTACAGCCTGGTTTCTGTACTGGAGTTTGTATTTGATGTATGACGATAGACATTGGAAACCATTTGTACCTACTCCAACTAAAAGGAGATTGTCCATCAAGTACTTAAACTATTCCCGCGATAAATGTTTCCCGAAGAACTGAAATCTGAGCAGAATGTTTTCCCTTGAAATTCGTCATTGGAAAATTATTCTTTACTATTAATTAATGACTCTCACTCGTTAACAGGGATCTCTGTTTTACTCAAACATAAGATCGTTCGGCAATGTTTTCAAAAGTCTGCGGAAAAAATATGGACGATTGAATTGTGGCGCCGTGATTGATAAAAGAAATTCCTTCTCGAGAAGCAAAGAATAAAGTTTTGAATCCTGCAGTGATCAAGAAAAAACATAAATACTCTGTTTAAACAGCAGCGGTGAAAATTTCCCGGAATAGAAAATACAATGCTCAGTCGCAGCCGACATGACACATGATGTATATTTTATGGTTAAAATATGTACAGCAAGTGCAATTCAATCGACGTTTAACCAAGATATTGGGATAGTTTTTCGATATATTAAAAGGCGAGAGAAAAGTAACAAACTTCTTCTAGTTAACAAAACAACTGCCACTATATGTGAAATGTTATTCCCGTATTTCATATCGACTGTATGTGCGATGCACGGTTATCAAGAAGTTTAAGGTAATGATAACGCTGAATGCTCTGTCATCTAGTTTTATCACAGTAACAATATCCTTTTGCTCTTTACAGTTGAAAGTTAATTTGCTAAAGGTAGAGTTATTTGAACGAAATTTTGTGTTTAGCTGATAGAGACGTCAGTGTTCACTGTCTAAACGGCATAAATGATATCTTGCGACTTCATTGCTGCTCAGTTAACCGCATTTCGTTTCATTTTTTCCAGTGATAGATACTTCAACTATGAAAAATTTACCCAACACAATGAAATCGCAAATTGAATCAATACCTTACTTATTCCTTTGCCGGTAGAAAGGTAAAACTTGAGCCTTTTGGAGACCGCTATGATGGTGACGGTGAATTTATGTATTTGGTCAGTAGCACTCGAACGGACTACAAACTTTAGCAGGTGCTGCTAACTAGCATTGAATATGTAAATTACGGTTGCTATCTCTCCAGTGTATAAAATAAGTGACAAAACCATGAAAGTATGGGAAAAAGAATGAATCGTTTGGGAGCCACCGATTACCATGCGGTTACGAATTCCTCCTTCTTCCAAGTACTTTGGTTTAGCGCAACTGAACTTCCGTCGTAGTAGGAATTGTTCGGATTAAAAACATAACCATCCTAATGTTGCGGTTAACTCCAAACTCCAAATTTTAAACATCATGTCTCATTCCTAAAATTAGCATCGAAACTACATACCAAAAGCATGCATCAGGGGCAAAAAAGTAACTTTATTTCAACTCGGGTTGATGAGGCCAATTAGGCCCCAAGCCATGCAGTACATGCTAGTATGCTGAGAAAAGTTATAAAGGAAAAATGACCAGTGACTGGCTTTCTAACTACTTTTGTTAAATAAACAATCCTAACTCTTTAAATCATAAAATTATCTGAGTTATGATTGAAAAAGAGAAAAAAAATAATCGAAAATACTGAGAGCGCAATTTTCTCCGTCTGGCTCATGTCTTGTTGCTGTATGTCGTCTCGCAAGAGTTGAATAAATCCTGGCGTTTGGTAGCGCCAGTTTATAATAGTGAGTGTAAGTCGAGTTTGATAGTGTACGGTGTTTGGTCTAGTGACATTAATCCAATCCATCAGCCTCTTTAGAAATAACACCGAAAAAAGGTGTTCTAGAAATACAACCTTCCTCGAGGTATCAAAAATTGATTAATGTCAAAAAGCAGTGCTAAAGCCGAAACTCAGCAACGTCAGTTTCATTTCCGAGGAAAATCCGAAAATCACACGAGTGGTACCGAAGAGTGGGTCAAGTAAGTAAGTTATCTCAAGCTGTGAAGGTGTTGTTATAATGCACCTTTAGATTGCTTGAGATTACTCATGACCATGATCATTTGCACAAATGGAGTGAAGAGCTATGTCTGCAAAAAAAGTGTACGCTTTTTTCCGTAATGGCAAATCATAAATTTTTTTTAGGTAATTGAGTTTTAGTTGATTTAAAACATTGTTAATTAATCGTCTAGGTAACTATTTTCCATAAATATTTTTTGCCTTTTTGGCGCACATAAAGCAGTATAATTAAAACTGTAAAGATCAGTTTGAAATGTCTTCTAATTAAAGTAACCATTTAAATTTAGATTTGCCGTAAAGATTTAACGCTTTATCGTGAATAAATAAATCTGCTTGAGCGGTAAATAACACGATATACTGAGTTATTAATGGGTTTATAATCATCTCCTGCAAGTGTTCGCAGAGCTAACGACACACTTTGTTATAAATTCTGCTCTTTTACTCGAGCGAATAGGTATTGTCGTTAACTGGAATAAGTTTCTACTTCGCTACAACGTCAACGGAATCGTAATTGGCGAGAACTAAAAATTCCTCATGCGTAAATCACATGACATGATCCTTTTAACTACAATTCGTTTCTCCTAACACATCACATATTCTACTTACCTTTGTAGCTTCTTGTATTCTCTAAGATCTTTGTAAGTTGGTCCAAAAGCGTACAAACTGCGAGAGAAATGATCAGTTTACTTAGCACTTTATCAAGGTTATTTATATACTACACTGGGTAAGGGTAACGTAACTTAGAAGCTTTGAAACCAAGCGCGAGAAACCAACCCTAATGCTGTCCACATTTTCAACCGCTGATGGAATGTTGTAGAAGTTTTTATCAATCGTAGACGCCTTGTCTGCAATAACAGTTAATTTAAGCATAAAACGGGATATCGCAAAGGGAAGATTATAGATTACGTGGCGGTGATCTACCAAGAAGGTCAAAATAATGGAAACAAAGCAAGGCGAACAGGTCTTGACTGGTAACAAAAAGTAAAGCCACCCGCCCGAAACTTATGACAATTGTGTAGGGATCGTTTACTTTTTGAAATAAAACCGTAGGTCAACAAAACGTTCGATTCTTTGAAAACTCTTTTCCAGAATGAACTGAGCAACACCTTTTACTCTAAAGAACTTTAATTTTTCTGCAAATAACTTGCAACCATAAATAAAACATCACTAGCGTAAGTTTTAATATTTTACAATAAGCGGGGAAAATAAAGTAGACAGCCGGATATTAGCTCCAACTATCGATCGAAAGCGTTCCTTTTCCGTATTCCCGCTTCAGATTTGGTGTTTTGAAGGAGTTACGCATTCCATGGGCCTTGGCTTAATCATGTGTTAATCCCATCCTGGTAACCGATATAATAAGTTTTACAATAGGTTCACCAAATGAACTTTCCGGTATCTCGTATGCAAATGATGTAACTTCATCATAATTCTGACTCAAAGCGAGGCTCAAGATGTATAATTTAGTATTTCCCAGAATTCCTTTAAAAGAACCAATGTAGTTTGGGATTTCTTAGAACCGATGTGCCTGAGGACGAGGTTGCATTGAGATTTTCCCCTTCCGTTCATAGAACCGAAAGGTTCCTTCGCAGGTTCGTTGGAACCTAGAAACGTGTCTCCCCCCGCCCCCTTAAAAGAAGACTGTATGGGGGGGGGGGTCGAGGGTTTGGTGGATTTTCAATGAAGAAGAAAAAACATGGTGGGACTAAAAACACGAGAGTTAACAAGCTACTCATAGTTATTGAAACGCACGGAAAGTAGTGAGTTTGGAGCAAAAGCCATCATCGGTGATTATTTTTTTTCCCAATTAGAGTATCTCGTCAACAAGAAGAGTAGCACAATTTTCAAAAACGAACATAATTTCGTGCATAATTTGGAAAAATCGGGCGACGTTGGTAGCATACCAGTAGAAGCTGTAGGGACATACTCTACACTGCCCTACTAACCAATCCATCGATGCTTCCCCTGCGTAAAGTCATTTCCTCAGTTTGATTTTAACGTGTATCAAGGAAGTTGTTTGAACCGAATCTTTTCGGTGCAGGTGGTGGGATACCTAATTATTTCCCTGAGATACCTCCAGACCGTAATTATCTTAAAGAAAATATGAAAATTTTAAATAAGGGATTGTCTTTAAATACGCTATATGCAAGTCACCCGCGATTCGCAAATACCCAAGACAAAGAAATTTAGGTCTCACGGAAAGATACCGCATCCATGGAAAGCGTAACCCTATGAAAATCTCAGACATGCTCAGATTACATTAATTTGTAATACGGCCTGAGAAAGGGAACGCGGGCTCCTGCTTGAATTAATAAAGTTAATAACTATGAACAAAATTATCTGTGTACGGACCGCCGTGGAAACGCAATAGTCTGAGTTATTCAACCTTACAAATCCCTTGCAATTGTGATTTTTTGCTAAATTTAAATTCTACATTCTAAACATACCTCGTCGACAAGATTTCTAGTAGGAAATTTTTATTTTGTATTCTTTGTTTCCGTACTCTATCATGTGAAATCAGTTATATTTAACCATTTTCATATGTCACCTTTTCATAACTTCAGTATTTGTAAATGGAAAGGAACATCCAATTCAAAAAGGACGTGTTGAGGATCCAAACTCAACTTAAAAAAGTGTCAAAAAAATCTGACGTCTAGTGAAAAAAAGGAAAAACAAGTCAGCAACAAGGCAAAGGGGACAAGATCTGCTTCCTCAAAACTGAAACAGAAATTCCAGGGAAAAAATGAAGTGGTCAAAAAGGGGTATTTCCTTGTGGAGACATTTGCACATGGTCACAATGAAAACAACCAAAGATCTTTCATGTTTATGGCTTGTGTCAGATACATACAATATGCATCTTTGTTATCTTATCAAAAGACAGCTGTAGCATTACATCTGATTTTCAATTTTTTTGTTTGATCGTAGCCCCCCCTCCCCAGCAAACTTCATTGTCTCGCCAACTACAATTTCTGACTGGAATGTTCTCTTGGGTGAAGCCAACAAACTAATTTTATGCAAGCACTTTTCAAATTCCAAGTATGATTTTCATCTCTGGAGTGATGACTCTTACAAAGGAGGAGAGGCACATAGTGGGTGTTCACACCTGGTGCCCAATAGAGAGTGAGCCTTAAGCTTATGTCCTTGCAAACAGCCTAACAGCAAGCAGGTCAGGAAAACACACCAATCTGATCTGGATTACCATATTGTAAAAAATGAATAAGATATTACCAATGTTTCGGGGTTGGTTGGGGACATTGCTTCTACCCAAAAGGGAAAAGTAAATGGTGTTTTAGCAAACAACACCAAAATGCTTGGAAAGGGAGTTTTTTTGTAGGATGCTACCCACATGTACTAAATACTATGCTGAGAATAATGTGCCATACCGAGTTTGGGGCAAAGGGTGACTTAAGCAACCCCCTTGTTTTACAATTACTATATAAAATATCTTGGCTCCAGCATGAGTGTTTGAGCCAGTACAAAGTTATCTAAGACTGTTTTTCTGGGTATTCTTAGTGAAGAGCCACCCCTTCCTCCAACATTCATTGACACAAGGTGGACATAGTATCATGAAACTCTTCAGTGGTATCTTAAGTATAGAAAAGCTTGTTTACAGCTTACTGAACATCTCCTTGAAAGTTTGCCAAAATCTGATAGCCACTATTTGGCAAGATGTCATTACGCTCAGCTCCAGTCCTATGATTCAAGTTGAAATCAAGTTTTTGTTTGAATTCCTTGACAAGTTTATCATCCCATCTCTGAAGGCATCCCAAGCTAGTCTTGTATAACTTGGATTTTCCAGTGGTTACCGAGTATGGTTATAGCCAGCAACTGTTCTAATGCACCATGAAACTTTAAGTGAAATGTTGATGTCTCTATCTGAATATTTCCTATAACATCACAATGGGTGAAGATGTCATTGAAGGACCCAGCAGCTATTAACCATTTTCACAAACAAATGCAGAGGCCAATGTTACAAGAAGCAATTAAAGTAATCAAAGATCATGGAGCTGAGTGGTTAACTTTTCCTAAGTTGTTTGGAATGCGAGCTGATCAGAGATACCAAAGTCCCTTCTGACATTTGGTTTTAAAGCTTCTTGAAATTCCAGTCAGATCTGAAAATCAACAAGAAAAGTCAGTGAACAATCCCTTTCATGTTCATGGACAGAACATTCTCACATTAGTGTCTACAGACAGAGTTTGATTACCGGTAATTAAATGGACCACTCTTTGGAAATTAAAGGAACTGCAGTTGCTAAGTGAGATCAAAGAAATGGTTTTATCACTACAGAGCTCACTCATATGTAAAGAAGTCACTCCAACCTGTTTGAGTTCTATGCCAAGCACATTTTAAGGCTCCACGTTCTAGCTGAAAGACAGTTCAACCTTTCTCAACTGTATCTTAATGATAACATGTCAGAGTTATAAAAACAGGCCTCAATCACATTTGTTGAGAACATCCTGATCAGTGGAAAAACCAACACCAGGACCACAGAAGCCGCACGTGAAGTTCTTCAAGAAAAAATGAAAGAATGTGCGCAAATGCTCACCACAGACCTTTTGCAGGAGGCAAGAAAGAACTTAAACAAGATAGAGAAAACAGCACACACAGGCCACTTACAGCAAAGGATGTTTATCCTAAAGCTTGGATAGAAAAGAAAGTAAATGATTACTTACCAGCTATGATTAAGTCACCAAAAAGCAGATGGTCGCAACCTTGAACTTCATTGGAAGACTTCTGCCAAGGGAACATCTGCACTGGAGGGACAAAGGTCACTCAATCCAACAGTAATTTAGGGAGTTACCAGTACACCTCATGGACAAGTTCCAAGGCTCATACAACTAGTAGCGCTAATGATGTGGAACTATGGGGAGGAGCTACCAATTCATGATCTACCTCAAGATTGCCAGTTGTGTCTAAAAAACCTTATAAATGTCTTCCAGCCTTCAACCACTAGTCTTTCCAAGTCCCACATGACTTTACATGTTACACCATTGCCTGCACATGAAGAATAAAGTATTCACAGGGGTGGCTCAGTAATTTTTAATCATTTCAGATTTGTATGTAATTGATTTCATAGACCCACCCTGCATGAAATAAATATATTTCAGCATGAATGCATTCTTACACACAGTAACACATCTAATAATAGGCCATTTTACAGTTGTGTACTTTGTTGCCAAGCCTTTGATTCAGAGTGAGGCTGAAGGTGACCTTGTTGTGATAGAGACCTGTATCTACTTAGCATGATAACAAAGTGATTTACATTTGAAAGGCAGCAAGGTTTGTATCATAACAAGGTCACCCCTAGCCTCACTCCCATTCAAAGGCTTGGCAACCAAGCACACAACTGTAAAATGGACTATTAAGAAATGTTTCAATGCAACATGTTAGAACCAGGTAAAAACATGTTGTAGATGCCATTTTCGTTAAGTGAACAGAGCTGAATGTCTTAGTACAAACTGCGTAGATTAGTGTTTTTTTGGTAGCACAACATGCTTCATTCACAACCGCATGAAAGAACATCTCAACAATGAAAACTTGTCCATGAAAAAACAGATCTATTCCTGTTAAAACAAAGACTATAAAGGCATTGATGTCAAGATTATTATGAAGCATTTTACATTAGAAAATACAAGCCTACACTCAGTTCTTGCAAAGAATGTAATAAATTTGCAGACCTTCTATTTTAGTATTTTATTTTCTAGACCATTCTTTAGCACTCTTAGAGGTCTTTTAATATCTAGAGATGGTCCATCATCAGAGCCTTGTGTTTCATTCACAGTTTATTTCTATAGCTTTCATACATATAGTCACATCTTTTACACATCTCACCATACACTTTCTTTGAATATATATAGTGCGCCCAAAAAATTTTCTTATCCCTGATGATGCCATTCATTGGTGAAAGCTTGCATTTTAAATTTTAAATTTTACTTTTAGACAGCAGTTTAAGGCCTCATTGGAACAGTTTGTATGTTTTTAATTATGCTGCTGAAGGACAACACGAGCAGATTATTAATATCTTAGTGTGCGTAGTATGTTAACTTTGCAATATTATAACTGGTTTTACATGGTAAAAGTAAAATGCATGGTGCCAAAGCTGGGACATGCATGTACAATCATGTTGTATTGGATCTTGAATTAAATGAATTGAACATTACATTCAAAATGAACAATAAGTAAATGAAAGTATCTGATTTTAAATTGTTATGCATGACTGAAACTTTGTAGAATATAGAACAAACATTGAAATGCTGTCACTTCACTACAGCAGTTTAAGACCATAATAAATGTAATATTTAACTATGTCCATGTAGATTGTATCATTATACTGTTGCACATGTATAATTTAACAAATCATTAGCAGTATGTAACTTTTATTGTGATAGGAACATGACTTGTGTATAAGTGTTCTTGTACATAAAGTGTATCATTTTGTTCAGGAAGGGCAAAGCAAATTGATGTCACCAATGTTATGTTACATATGGTTAGTGTACAATGTATAACAGTAATGAATTAGATTTAAACAATGGATCTGTTAAAAAAATGTGCCAAGTTTGTTATCCTGTATAACTGCCTCCCAGTTAGCTCAACTGGTTAGAGTGCCAGACTGTTGTGCGAGAGATGGAGGGTTCGAGCCCTGGCCAGACCAACACTCAAGGTCTTAAAATAATTGAGGAGAATGTGCTAACTTTCTATAATATCAAGAAATGGATAGACATTCTTGTCTTCTCGGATAAGGATGAATAAACTGTAGGTCCCGTCTCCTGCATCCATTAATTAGTTAATCTGGTTGAGCAGGGGACCTTAAAGAACCCACTCACAAGATTACTGTGATGTGGTCTGGTCTGGTTGCTGGGGATTGGGGGGAGGGGGTATCTTCAACTTCCTTTGATTCATTGTAAAATGTTACAAGCAGTCTGGTAAAGTCTCCCCCACAGTGTTGTAAGAATGGCCCTGAAAAGCCCCAAGGGGAGTGGTCATCCAACCTATCTATCTCTCTGTCTGTCTGTCTGTCTGTCTGTCTATCTATCTTTGTTCTGTGTAAAAGATAAGTAATACTATTCTGATCCGTAATGAATCCTATCTCCCCTTTAAACATTTTTCTTCTAGTATTAAATACATCTACATCAATGGAATTTTTTTCAAATACAGGCAACTTGTGATAGCCACTATACCTGGACCTACACCATTTAATGAATATGAAGTGTGATAAAAAAAGAATCGATGCGTTGGTCAATCCTCCACATTCAAAAGCGCCCAAAAGTAACGTGGCCGGTATGGACAAATTATGTACGTTATTTACACAAAACACACACAAACTTTATAATTTGCGGACAAACTTAACAGAAAGCCAGCAAACTTAATAAACTGCACGCAAACTGTAAAAAGCGCTAACAAACTTAACAAAGGACACGCAAACTTAACAAAATGCGTACAAACTTAATAATGGACATGCAAACTTAACAAAATGTATACAAACTTAATAAACGACATGCAAACGTAACAAAATGCATACAAATTTATTAAAGGACTTGCAAACTTAACAAAATGCGTACAAACTTAGCAAAATGTGTACGCATTTTAGGACAGGCAAGTAAACTTTAAAAATAGCACGAAAAGTTAAAATGAAACGCATTCAAACTAAAAATGAAAAGCATACAAAGTTAAAATTAAAAACACAAACTTAAAATGAGACACGCAAACTTAATAAAACGCGCACAAACTTAATATGAGACGAACAAACTTAAAATGAAATGCACACCAACTTGAATTATAACATAACCAAAGTAAAGTTTGTACGTCTTTTGTTAAGTTTGTATGTCCATTATTAAGTTTGTCGCATTTTGTTAAGTTTGCATGTCCTTTATTAAGTTGGTTAGCGTTTTTTACAGTTTGCGTGCATTTTATTAAGTTTGCTGGCTTTTTGTTAAGTTTGTCCGCAAATTATTAAGTTTACATGTGTTTTGTGTAAATAACGTACGTAATTTGTTACGTAATTTGCCACGGTACAAAAGAAATAAGCATTAATTTAACAATCGATATCAGTCAAACATCACCTCCTCCGTAATTAGAACCAACGAGTACCCGAGAAGTAAATTATTGATAATCTGTTCTTGGCGCCTGTTGACGAATAAACCGGAGTTCCCTCTCGATCTCGAGTGGGCGATATTGAATGTAAGCTAATTAAGGCCATTACCATCAACACACCCCAAAATAGGATCAAGATTACTTTATTTATACTCCTACCTCGTGCATCGTGGGCTTGCTTGTACTCTCGAACTGCTCTGAGAACATAACATCAGTCGATATATTTCATTCCTCCATAGCATCTTGAGCGAGCGTCAAAAAATGAAAATTACTTTCAAACGAACAACAATGGACTCCAAACCTCAATCTGCCTTGAGTTTTCAAGGCAAATTGTGAAACTCGATGTGAAAACACGATGCCAACTCTTGACCTTGTCCGTTTCGAAATCCCAAATAAGAAACACCACGCGCAAAGAAAAGAAAACCGTACGAAAAAATAGCATTTCTACCACTAAGTCGATGAAAAGAAAAGAATAAAATGGTCGGATTTTTAACTCCGTCGCAGTCTTCTCTAAAACTTTGTGTTTCGATAAGTTATGCAAAAGTAAAGTAAAAGCGCGTGGAGGAGAAAAGTAAACACAAGAAGAAGTCTCTTCTGCGCATGTCTGAAATTTTCCTGAACTCACGTGAGCCGCTGTTCCATTGGCCTAAACAATTTGCGTTTGAAAAGCAGCAACAATACAATACAATACGATACAATACAATGTTCATTATTTCGAGAGGGTTTAACCCAGTAAAGAGTTTTCTAATACATGGCCCTCTAGTAAACCCACCCCATCCATCACACAGTAATCTCGTGTGTGGGAAATTAACGTCTCCTACCCCAACCCTGCAGGAGACGGGACCTTCATTTATTCGTCCCTGTCCGAGAAGACTAGAATATCTAACCATTTCTTTACGTTATAGAAAGGCAGCAAATTCTTCTCAATTATTCTAAGACCCCGAGTGTTGGTCCGGCCGGGGCTCGAACCCTCGACCTCTCGCACAACAGTCCAGCGCTCTATCCATTGAGCTAACCGAGAGGCGGTTACAAGGTCACCATTAACCTCACTCCTGTTCCAAGGCTTGCCAATGAAGGAAACACCTGTAAAATGGACTATTATGAGAAAAGCCAAAGTATGCTGCGATGAACACGCGCGGACAATTCTAGGAATTTGTTCTTTCCAGGAAACAAATAGCTTAATAAGACATCGCCTGAGACATCCAAAGTAAAGAAATATTAATCTTGCATTATTGATTAAGTTTCCCTTTTTTGTTCTTGTGTTATTCCATCTTTTGTTTAACATAATTCATACCACGTGATCATGAATTGTAAGGGCTCGTTTTAAGGCAGTTTAAATCATTTTTTTTTTTCTCTTTTACGTTGTACTCCAAGAGCCAGAGCTGTGCTTGAGCATAACTCAATAAATCTAACAAATCGATATTAGTTTAGTGAGGTCTGCACCCTTATCGACAACGAGATTCGTCATCTCAGTGGCCAGAATGTTGTGGATTCACGAGGCACAGCCGAGTGAATCTGCAACAACCTTTGACAGATGTTGGGACGTGTACCTCACTGGCTCAGAGGGAAAAAGAAAACATGCTCTGAAATGAGTTTAAAACACTTATGTAACTACGCTGTCAAGTTCAAGTCTCACGTTTTCCTACCAACATTTTCACCACTCTTCCGGTAATTCTGAGCAAGTCTACTCTAAAGGGGTTTTTTTCCAATGGAAATTATATCTGTCAACTCATTCGTGTTCTGTAATGGAATGATCTATGGCCGTTTCTTTGGACTGATCCTTTGGCCATTTACGAACTTCTTAAGACAAAAGTAATTTCACTTAATTCTTCATCAACGTTTTCAAGCGCACTATTGCCGTGACTAAAAGTGATTTCCCTCGTCACTAACCGCGTGCAATGAAGAGGCACGTGAAGCAAGGCCCGAGGAGAACTGACCACCCCATACACTTCTTTTCAAGTAAAACGACAGATTCGGAAAGGCTAGTTTTTCTCGATTATATTTCTGAAATAAATCTTGATTTGACACCTAGAGTTGACGCTCTGAATAAAACCTTCGAAAAGACATGAATCATAACGACCAGCCACACTAGCGAAAAAAAAAATTGAAAAGGATGAAGATTAATATAGTTGTGCCATACTTCAGATTTATGAAAATGAAAGGCTAAAATATGACGTCTGAGTCCAACTTGGCGAAAAAAATAGTGAAGTAGCATAGCCACAGAATAAATTCATGACTTACAAATGAATCGAAAGAAACAGTTCATAATTTTCGTTTTCTACCGACTTCGTTCGTCATGCTTATAATAGTAATCAGCTTCATCAAAACTGCTCGCGTTACCAAGTGAACCATTTTGTTACACTTTTGCGGGGAAAATCACATTTTCATAAGAGTTAAGGTGAGAGCTGAATTAGTTAGTTGGTATATTAGAGATATACCATGTTAAGTGGGTAGGGATTAAATATATAAGTAGAAATAATTTAAATATAAGAGGAGAAAAATCAAAGAAATATCATATTTATTCGTCACAAGCGTGACAGAAAGAGACATATTGAGTTTTCCTCGAAGATTCGAATCTTTGAACTTCGGATTTTACGATGTGAAGATCTACCACAGATCTACAGAACACTCTTTAATGAGCCAAGGCATACACTTGGTTCATATGACACACGATTCAAATATTCTGTAAACATCCGCAATGTCGAAAGCGTCATGTCTAAAATAGATAAAGAAAGAGAGTAAATTTCAAGCTCCTTCGTCGAATGAAAAAATTCAAAAGTCGAGATCTACAGGGTAAGAGATTTAATCTTCAGATAGGCTCAGAATAATTCTTCATTACATAATCGTGACAAACGAACCAAACTGTTCTTAATTCGATCGACGAACAAGCAAACTATTTTCTCTCTTTCTTTTATTATCAAATCAGACGACAGAAAAATTTTCACATGCTGACTTCAGGTACAAATAATAGACCTTGGGGTAGCTGATTTATCTTCCCATGAGAGATCTATGAAACTCATGATAATATGGTTAATTCAAGTAATTTGACCGGCGCTTGTCGCATACGAATCTTAGTATATAGCCTCCCCTACCGCGATTGATCGCAGAATCTGCAAAACTGGGGCTCTAAAACCCTTAAGAGAGATTCAGATTTCTCTCACACTGTCCCAGCTTGCAGTACTCTGCTTTATAACATTTTTCTTAAAACATTTTTTGAGATACTCTAAGTGTATCTCCAAAAAGAGATGTTTCTTTAACGACCTGAATGTCTGCAGCTAATATTTCTCTAAGAAGGGTACGAATTTTATCCGCTGTAAATTGTCAACATTTTCTTCATTAAAAGCGTAACGCTTTGAATCTGTTTTCCTCTAGTTTCGACGGAAAGTCACGTATCCTTCTTGGAAAAGAACTTTTTTGGAGTTTTACTGCAAGCACTCTTCAGGTGACGAAAGCTAATGCAGGTTGTCGTAACGGTTTTCTATAGAAAATATTTCGCAAATAACTTCTACACTGATGGCATTTCCATCCAGTTCTATGTAGAACCCGACGGTGATAAATTTATGTTAGTTCTTCTCACAAAGTGAAGATGAATCCAATATAACAAAAAACATCAGAGATTATAAAGATTTATTTATTTTTATTTCGCACTAAATTTTCATTCTAGTTAGAGAAAACTAAAGAATGAAGAATAATTTGTCGATTGAACACCATATTTTCCCCAATAAATTGCGAGGAAATTCATAAGAAAACAACGAGGGAAGCATCAACCCTATCTTTGGATTTTGTAGGTTAACTAGTAGAGCAGTTTGATTCGATGTCATTTCGTTGCCATGATACTGTTTTCGAGCAAATCTGTGCAATCAAGAGAATATGTACTCTTGGTGCAATAATAAAACTCACCGTGGTTGACTTCATTCTTTTCGATTCAGTTTTCTATGGCGGAGAGTTTCCTGCCCTGAGGAGAATCATGATGTTGCGGATGTTTTTCGCCTAAAGGAAAATAACCGAGTCTAAATCGCAGGATGACTTCATCGTAATACAGAAAAATGCAAAAATAACCTTAAAAGGAAACAAACTAACATTAAAA